GGCGCGGGGGGAGGGCTGCCGGAGAGGCCCGGGACCCCGACCCTCGCCACATCCCGTTCCGTCGCCGTCTCCCACGGCTACACGTACGGCTTCCGTACGGCATGACGCTGGTGACGACGGCGGCGACCGAAGCGGAGGGGTGTATGTCGCGGGGGGGGATGCGGTCGTACGTGCCGGTATTGCGGCGCGTCGGCAATTGAGGGGACCTGCGGGTTCGCGACGGCGGCGGCGTCGTGCAGCGGACGCGGATGCGGCAGCAGCAGAGTTGTCGTACGCGTCATCGTCGTCGTCGTCGTCGTCGTACTACCAGCATCTTCAGTCCCATTCCGTGGAGCAGCGGGAGGCGGATCTGGCGCCGCTGCGACATCGCCAAATGTACGGCAGCACCCCGGAGGAACGGCGGGAGGCCCAGGTGGGGTTCCCACATGGTTGGCGGTTGGCGGTTGGCGGTTGGGAGTTATAAATATGTTTTTTTGGTGCTGAGGACATGGGCTTGGTGGTTGGGCCAGTGTACGGCCTTGGAGCGGGTTACGTTCCAGCTTTCCCTCCCCTCACTCGTACGGCATGTCTGAAGTACGTGCGTTGAGTCACTCGGGGTTTTCCCCTCCTTGCTTGGTGGGGGCCCAATTCAAGGGCGCCGCCTAAGGACCCGCACTGCCCGCGCCTGGCCCGCACGACCACCGCCAAATCCACCTCTCCCCCCCCCGCCCCGCACACACACTGTTTCCCTACCCATTCCCGCCTCCAGGCCTCCCTGGATCGGGAGGTCGCCAGGCGACGTAGCATCGACTCAGCCGCCTTGGCGGCCGCCGCCGATCTGCTCGCCACATACCCCGGCCTGATGCTCAAACTGGCAGCTTCTGCTTCAATGTCAACGACCCTCAACAACCTTTTAACCACCACAGCAACAGAGTCAACGGCGGATTCATCCCCAGGTGGCAGCAGCAGCACCACCAATGCCGTACTGGTGGCGATGTTGGCCCGGGAGGTGGTTCACAGTCCCATGGGTCGGCCCGCACCGGGGAAGGCGTTGGTGGACGACTGGGATTGTCTTCGGGCCATGGTAGCGGCCTGGGGGGAGGTGTACGGCCCTATGGACCAGTACGGCATGAGGCACACGAGGTTGCTGTCTAATTTGTGTAATGCGGGGGTAGAGCCGGCGTTGCTGGCGGCGGCGTTGCGGCGGAGCACGGGGGCCGCGGCGGCGGCGGCGGCGGCGGCGGCGACTGGCGGCGGCGGTGCTGATGCCGGCGGCGTTTTGGAGAGTTAACCGTCGTCGTCATCATCGTCATCATCATCGTACGGATCTTGAAAATGGCAACGGCGGCGATGATGGTGGCGGAGGAGAGTGAGGAGTTTTCATTTAATGACGATGATGGAGAGGGAGGAGGATAGAGGAGGTTGAGGGTGGTGGAGGGGGAGATGATGGGTGGAGGAGAAATTCCTCTGTTGTGGCGGAGATGGCGGTGATGGCGGTGATGTGGGTCTGTGGGGAAGGACGGTGGGAGGACGCGGCGGGACGCTGGTTGGGCTGCTGGACGACCGGCGGGGGGGGGGGAGAGGTAGTGAGGTGCGGGAGGGCGAGTGGGGAGTTGAACAGGTGGGGGCCCGTACAGAGCAGAGCACCCCGTGCGGTGTCGACTGATGTGGATGTTGGTTCTGGCGGTGAGGTGAGGTGTGTGGGAGTGGGTGTGGATATGGGAGTGGGAGTGGGAGCGGGATGTGCTGTGTAGAGGTGAGGTGAGGGCTGAGGGCCTAGGGGTGAGTGAGGGTGAGCTTGTTTGATTTTGTTTCATAGTTGCTTTTGTAAACCACAGAAAATATTCATTGTTGTTGTGGTGATGGTTGTGTTTTTCGCGGCAGGCGAATTAGTGCGCCGCATAATTTTCGCCCTTCAAAACCTTTCAGTTGTTCGTTGTCTTCATTATTGCCGTTATTAATTTTGTCTGCATGAGCTGAATTCAGTTCAGTTCAGTTCAAGTCAACTGGAGCAGTGGCCCTCCGGAAGCATTGAATTAACTCCTGGCTGCATTTTGGTCGCATCACGGCAGGGCGCCACACCTTGGGCCGCTTGTGGACCTAGCGGACCCCAAATGTCGCCTGAAGATGTTGTGCTGTATGTATGTATGTCATTACCATGTCGTGCATGTCATTACTCAACCTGAGTGAGGGGGCTGGCGATGACCTGGCCTGGCTCCGATAGCGACATATAGGTACGGCAACACTTATGGACGTACGTACGTACGTACGGATGGTTTTCTATGGCTGTTACAAAAAGATCCCCTGTTGGGGTTTTTGTACAAGAGGCGTGACGTCCGGGAAAGGATGCATATCGGCGAGTGCTGTGGTTGTTGGTAGTTGTGGTGGTTATTGGTGGTTGTAGTTTGGACGAATGAGGACGTGTAAGTGTATCATGAATATGGTGTGCGGCAGAGCGAGTTCATTTTTCCCGGACATCCCTTGCCTGCGGTGGAAGAACAGCAGAAGAAGAAAGCCTGTTTTATGCGGATTGGTCACTCGGCCGACATAACACGGCCGACATGCTAACTACGCACCCACTTAAGAGTTGCACATCTGCTCTGCAGACATGTTAAAATGGGCAACAGGAAAAAGTTACAACTTTGGGCCTTCAGCGATTTAGTGGCTCCCCAACGGTGGCTTCTCAAGTTGTGTTGCGGAGCTGAAAGCGAAACAGAGGGAAAATGCAGGTTTGTGTACGAGGTACGGCGGGCGTCTTGACGTCCGGCGGGTACAAATAAGGGATTAATGAGGGCGAAGGTGCCTAAATTTGCTAACCTCACATATGTATGCTACGTGATGCGGATCGCCCAAAAGTTTGCTTGCTGCTGCCAAGATGCTTTGGCTAGACGGTTTTGGGATTTCCTGCCTTAACATATACTTCTGGTTGACTCTTTATTATCCAGATGCGTTGAGGCACGCCCATTGGATTGAAGGTCAAGCTTTCGGATCGAAGGACGACCGTGATTTTGTCGTATTGGTTCGAAACTAGGCTCGAAAGCTGGAAATACCGTAGGAACGAGCCTGCAAACGGCACACAGAATTGCCAGAAGAAGACCAAAGAGACGTGGAGGCATTTCAGTAATGGTCGAGCGGGGAAGTCAGTAAGGATGCATCTGTTTTCGTCACTTTTCTGAGAAAATCAATACATGCTATCAGTGCTGCTGCATGTCATATAATTTACAAGCAATTCAGCGGCTTTGCTTCGGATTTGCCAAGCAGAACACACATAACAGGGGGATGTTAAGGAGTTAGTTGGAACTGGAAACTACTGCAAGAATCCGACAGCCGATAATGAATCAAACTGCATTCCTTGCTTTGTTGTAATGCTGTTACTGTGCTAGATTACAGTCTTAGCTCATGGACCCATTCATGGGCCCCGTCAATCAAGCCATGATTTTCCTGCATAAAGATGCCTGTTTCTCTGACCAAGCTTTCTGCTGAGTATTTACACTATAAATAATTATCTACCTCCTATCTAAATAAGAAATTCTTTTAGCAAACAACCACTCCTCAAATTATGAGTTTCGGGCGGCTGGGCAAGCGGCGCATCGGGGACGGAGCAAAGCAATCGATGCAGCTCTCTAAATTGCCTTCTGCACTCCAATTTGCTCAGCTTCAATGCTCGACGCGGCCAAGGTCGCTTATCTCCGCGCTTACCCTCGCCACGACTGCCCAAGGCAGAACATACGCAACTAGACTCCTAACCATCACCGCCACCACTACCTTTCTGAGCTTGCCAGCTAACGCTACTATACTATGCCAAACAAGTCGAAACACATCAACAGCTGCCAACGCATCCTCCCGCAGCGGCAGTAGCGGCAGCATCAACCGCCGTACTGTATGCGGCGCCAGCCATTGTAGTGGCGGCGATATCACGAGCCTTGGGCATCTCCCGCGCCTGGAGGAATGGCTCCGGAACCATGGCGGGACGGTTAACGGTGTGGAGCTACGGTCGGTCATGTTCCCCTCAGGTCAGGGGGGGATGGGGTGGGGGATGGTATTTGGGGGGGAGGAGGTAAAGGCAGTTTATTGATCGAGGCGCGGTGGGCGTTATGACCCTCCCGGCTGCGTCATGGCTCCCGGGATGGTCGATTTCGCCTCCTCCCCCCCCCACGGAAGGAGAGCTCCCGGTTGCTGTAGAATTGGGTCATTTTTGATTTGGGTCATTTTTGAATTGGGTCATTTTTGAATTGGGTCATTTTTCCCAGGAGGCGGAAGGGTGAACTGTATTGCGATGTCGAGATCATTCATCCTCATCTACATACATGGCTTAGCTGAAAGTACGAGAGTACGACCACACCAAAAACCCGCTTCCCCCACCTTTCCCCCCGACCTGGCCCCCCCCAACCTGCGCCCGGCTCCAGGGGCGGTGGATAGGCAGCTCAGGGCCTCAGAGGACCATCCCGCCGGCACCCTTCTGATTGCCGTACCCAGGATGCTACAGATTCGGTACGACAACATTGAGGAGGCCGCCGCCACTGCGGCCGCCGCCGTCAACCCTGACGCCGTCAACGTTGCCGCCGCCGCAGTAGCAGAAGCCGGTGCCGCGGGGGCAGCCCAAGACAGCGCCAGCTCGCTGGTTATCCCGGCTGCCGACGCCGCCGCACTGGTTGCACTGTACGGCATGATGCCGCGGGGCAGCGACACTGGCGCCGCCGCCTGGCAGTTTAAGCAGGCCCTGACGTTGCTGTACCACCTGTCCCGTGGGTCGGCCTCGCCGCTGCTGCCGTACCTGGCCTACCTTCCGGGCCTTGCGCGGGGCGTCCCGACACCGCGCGTCGCAATGCTCATGTACGACGACGCGGTCGACGAGCTGCAGTACGGTAGCATCATACAAGATGTACGGAACCAGAAGTACTGGCTCCGCCACGTCATCCGGGAGGTATTCGGCCGGGGAGACGGGCAGACGGGGGGAGCTGCTGCCCGTGCGGCGGGATCCGCCCGCCCGCAGGATTCCGGATCCACATCGGCGGCGGCAGCAACGGCGTTATCAGGTGCCTTTGGTGGTCTCCATGTTGATGAAGAGCTCTTCAGCTGGGCTGTGGCTGTGG